AAAAGAGACCAAAAAATTGGGAATGCCAGAGGGTTTTAGATAAGGTCAGAAACGTGTGTACCACTGTAACAATAGCACTTGAGCAAAGAAGTGAGGGGGTGACAGAGGAAGTCGTGTTCTCTACCTGAGGGAAGAACATTATAGGTATATGGAGCAACCAGTTCAAACATCTTGAGGCAAGAGTATTCCTGTTATGTATGAGGAGCAGCAAAGCTAGTGGGGCTGGAGCTCAGTGGATGAACATTGCTTTAGGCCAAGATGAGGTCAGACATGTAGCAAGTGTTGAAACTGTGAAGGCTTTAGACTGCTAGGACTAGTCTATCGCCCTGAGTATACTTACGAGCTATAGAAGTATTTTAAGAAAAGGAGTGGGGCCAGGAGCAGTGGCTCACGCCTGTAATTCCAGCACTTTGGGAGGCTGAGGCGGGTGGTTCATGAAGTCAGGCGTTCGAGACCAGCCCAGCCAACATAGTGAAACCCTGTCTCTACTAAAAATACAAAAAAATAAATTAAAAAAATAAATAAATAAATAGCTGAGCATGGTGTCAGGCACCTGTAAACCCAGCTACTCAGGAGACTAAGGCAGGAGAATCATTTGTCACTGGGAGGTGGAGGTTGCCCTGTGCCACGATCACACCACAGCACTCCAGCCTGGGTGACAGAGCAAGACTCCGTCTCCAAAAAATAAAAATAAAAAATAAAAAATAAAAAAAAGAAAAGGAGTGATGCGATCTAACTTTCCAAATTATTCAGGCTGCTCTTTTGAGAATAAAACTAGGTTGTAATAAGGAACAATTTATTTTCTACAGAATGTTTTTCAGATGCTGTAACTGTTCATGCAACAAATATTTACAGAGGCTGGGCACGGTGTAGAGGACGCTGAGCAAAATCCTGCTTCCCCTTGTGGAGAGCAACACTCCTTAAAGAATGAAAGACAGGCTTGAGGTCAGGTTTTCCGAGGAACCACGTTGTCGGGAAGATCAGAGTAGTCGTCTCATGAAGTAATTGTTGAGAGATCAGAAGTGTGAAAGTTCAGTACGTGAAAACCAAGGTGTGACTTAGGTGTGGTTTGGGAGCGCATTCCAGGCATTGGGGTGGTGCAGTACTCGGAGAGGCTGTGCACCAGGGAGGAACTCGACGAATCCAAGAGATGAAACTCCAGCTAAGCAGTGGCCACAGAACAAAGAGTTTTGAAAGCTAGGCTGAGGGTCTGTCTTTATTCTAACACCGGGAATACTCTTCACTTTTCGAAGATGCGCCCTGGTATCTTTTTATAATTAGCAAGTAAAAGTGTAAATTGAAGAAATGACAAATTGATATTCAACATTTTCTCATAGAAATGGGCCAGTGGAGATGCAGTCAGACCCACTAAGTCCCCTTTGAGTGGTCAAGAAGAAAAGGATGGTCCAACAGACTGCCAGAAGGTAGGGGGAAGAAGATGGAGGCAAAGGAGTGGAGGAAGAGATGCCAAGAAACCAGACAACTGATAGATATTTTGACCCAAGTAAAAGCAGTGTCAAGAAAAATGGAGGGGTCATTCATCAGTTTAGTTGAGAATTGAGTCATGTACTTTGCTGAACATGGGAAACGATGGGAATGGTTTTTGTGTGGTGAGGAATTCAATGAAAATGACAAACAGATGTAAAAATGCAAGCAGCAATTAGAAGCAGTTTGGCTACAAAAAGAGAGAAACTAGGACAGCAGCTTATACTTCATCTGCCAGAAGGGCATATGTAGTAAAGAGAGTTTTGTCTTTATTTGTAAAATAAAATAAAAAAAAAAGATTCAATAATAGTTGGAAGCCAATGGGAAAATCCAGCTGAGAAAGTTGCGTCTGCATGAAAGGCAGCATAACTGACTGTACAAGAATCTTTAGATACTAGGAGGAGAGAAGTTAACTTTATATATATATATTTTTAATTTTTAATTTTTTGGATACATAGTAAGTGTATACATTTATGCGCTACATGAGATATTTTGATATGGGCATGCAATGCATAACAGTCACATCAGGGCAAATAGGATATCCATCACCTCAATTCAAAATAATTGAATAATATCCATCACCTTAATTCAAAAATAACTAAAATTATACTCTTTTAGTTATTTTTAAATGAACAATTAATTTTTTTTTTCTGCAGTCATCCTGTTGTGCTAGCAAATACGAGGTCTTATTTACTTTTTCCAACTGTTTTCTTTTTATATCCGTGGGAAATTGGCTTTATAAATAGATCTTCTCACTTGTCAGTAGCGAAGGGATTTTCACTTCGAACATGGAGGAGACTCTGAAGGAGTCAAAATGTATTATCTGGCAGATGTGCACACCTGCCACCAGAAAGAGAGGGGCATTCAAATCTGATGACTTCTATAATCCCTAAAATCAGATGATCATGTAATTTGTCATTGAAACGGAACACTTTGGAGGATGAAAATAGGCACTATGAATAATGAAGCTAGGATTGTTTTAGCAAACTGGAACTTATGGTCACTATCTTTTTTTTAATTCTCTACGTTTTACAGATTTTATTTATTTATTTATTTAATTATACTCTTAAGTTCTCGGGTACTCATGAAGAACGTGCAGGTTTGTTACATAGGTATACACATGCCACGGTGGTTTGCTGCATCCATCCCCCTGTCATCTACATTAGGTATTTCTCCTAATGCTATCTCTCTCCTATCTCCCTATAATCCCATCAAAAAGTGAAGAAGACGTGTATGCAGCCAACAAACATATGGTCAGCTATCTTGAGTTCCCCCAGAAACTGCTCTGGTATAGAGATTTGAGTTTTGGTATTAGATACGATAGATAAGGAAAACATTAGTAGGGGAGTAGGAAATTAATATGGCTAATATAATCTGGGGAACTAAGGAAACCAGTAAAGCACACATTACAATCCACGTGTCACTTTGAGCAGTTGAAACCACACCCACCTGGGGAACCACTCAGAGCCAGTGTCGATCACACACCTGAAGAGTTCCGTCATCCCAAGAGAGAAGCTGGATATTTATACCCAGCTCCTGTCAGTCACTGGATGAGGGGTGTTCTTAGATGGGCATTCACGTCCCTGTACTTTGCCTCATTAACAGACAAAGCATTTGGGAGGCTGAAGACACTTTCAGACAGAGAAACGCAGAGGCTGCAGATTGAAAGGGGAACTCTCAGATATCTGGCAAAGGGCTAGCAAAAATGCAATAGGGAGAGGGCACCAACAGCTTTCAGTCTGAATTTCAGAGTAGTGACAGTGCAAATGAAGGTGATCTCCTGAGAGTTAGGGGATAATTGGGAAGTTGAAATTTTGTGAGCATGGAGAACATATAAACAATTATATGAGAAAACACGATTACTCAGCAGTACTGAGACCTCTGCACCACAACTAGGAATATTCTGATCATCCTTGAAATAATTATTTGTATCTTTATCTATGGAGAAGGAACTGCCATGATTGGAAACTGATTATATAAGGTCACTAAAACAATAAACAGAGGTTGGAAAACAAAATCATGTACTCCGGCTTCAGATGCTCTATGTTCTTTTCAAAATAACATCTGGCAAAGATATGTTCAATGAAGTCTTTTAATACTTTTTGTTTTGTTTGGAATTTAATTTTTTTCAAAAAATTTTTGGGGATGGATCATTTTTAGTTTGTGTTTTTAAGGGAAAATACTTCATTGTTTCTTAGATTCTCACAGGAAAATGACTACAATCCATTTGCATGTGTTCACAATTTTTCTGTGTTTTCTGTCTAATATTTCTAAATTCCTCCCTGTAATTTAATGTATAACCTATGATGTTTGATAATAACTCAATCAAATGACTGTACAGTTGTTCCATTGTTACCAGAAGTATGTAAGAAGTGAGATGATCGGAAATTGCTTGGGATATTTTCTAGAAAGTTTATATAATTGTATAATGATATTAGGGGAAGAAACAAGTGGATAATTGCTAACATCCAGGCAGTGTATAACTAAGTGATGAGTTTTCTAATCAGTTAACTGTGGGACACAAATCCATAGCAAATCAGATCACATTTGTATAGCATTTTCCTCATGGATCTACTCAATATTCTGGCAAAGTAGGTATTTAATTAAAAAGACCAGAAATTGTCCTATTTCTTACCTCACAAACAGATTTGTGACTAAAAGTTAAGGATATTGAATGAATACAGACAAGATGAATTTGTTTTTCCCTATGTTGCATTCTTTTTTTTTTTTTTTTTTTAAAGACAGAGTCTCACTCTGTCACCAAGTTGAAGTACAGTGGCCCAATTTCTCAGCTCACTGCAACCTCCACCTCCTGGGTTCAAGAGATTCTCCTGCCTCAGCCTCCCTAGTAGCTGGAACTACAGGCATGTGCCACCATGCCCAGCTAATTATTGTATTTTTAGTAGAGACAGGGTTTCACCATGTTGTCCAGGATTGTTTCAATCCCTTAAGCTTGTGATCTGCCCACCTCAGCCACCCGAAGTGCTGGGATTACAGGCATGAGACACTGCACCCAGTCACTCCATTAAATTTAGTATTTTCTTTTTTTCCATTTGCAACTTTAGATGAGTATTTACTATTCTTCAACCCTTACGCTGCGCACATCCCTATGTGAATGAGTGAACGAACTGTCTTTGTAGAACTTTGTTTTTATATCTACTAGGTTGCTTTTGTAAAGCCTAATACTGCTTCTGTTTTTTGTAAATCAATAATTATTTGGAAGTGTTTTTCAAGGATTTCAAACCTGTCATCTTTCAGTAATACATATGCCAATTCCTGCTACTTTCCTTTCCTTCAGTGAAATATGGTCTAGAATTTCTGCAACTTGACCATTTTCAATTTGACTATTTTTTTCTTTTGAGGTACTAAAATTTAGAAGGTGATGGGAGGTTTTTTTCTTTTTCTTTTTTTTTTTAAACCTTTCATACTAAGTTTTATTGTATGCTGCTGCCAGTGTATATAAAACAATTACCCCTGGGAAATAAAAATTCATGAAAATTCAGAGAGGAAGATGTTAAGGACTGACAGAAGTAGAAGTTTGTATATTATGGCACAAGTGTTACAGGGATAAGCTTTTGTACAGGCTTCAAATGGAGCTCTCTTGAATATTCACTGGATCATAAGAAGTGATTTGGGAAACCTTTCTAAGATTCATTTTACTACAAAAAGGAACAGACTTTCTGGGGTCTGAAGGGATTTGTACTTGAAGATACTCCAGTCAGCAGAGGATCATGTTGAGCATTCTGCAGACAGAACTGTTTCAAGTCTGCAGCTGCCTGGGAAACTTTTACGCGGTTGAGCCCGGCCTCCAGCCGGAGCTGTTGAACCACTTTCCTCATAGCGGCGACGCTGGAGGAGCCAGACATGGTGTACTGGAGGGCCGGGCCGATTCGTGGGTCGGTAGGTGTTGGGCCGTGGGTAGACTGGGCCAGACAACTTGTTTTTTTTTTCTTATAGAAATTTTTAAATTTAATTTATTTATGTATTGAGGCAGTCACACTGTGTCACCCAGACTGGAGTGCAGTGGCATGATCTTGGCTTACTGCAACCTCCATCTCCTGGATTCAAATGATTCCCCTGCCTCAGCCTTCTGGGTAGCTGGAATTACAGGTGCATGTACCTGTATTTTTAGTAGAGACGTTGTTTCACCATGTTGGCCAGGTTGGTCTCAAACTCTTGACCTCAAGTGATCCACCTGCCTCAGCCTCACAAAGTGCTGGGATTGAAGTGAGCAACGTTCTTACCCTCTTATAAAAAATCAAGGCAATTTTTTTTGCATTTTAGTTTTTGGGTCTTTCAGCTCCTCTGCATTATAAATTATAACAATGCTTCGGAATTTTACAATGGGAACAAACTTCTAGTCAATCTTTGAATACAGATAACCAACATAGTGTGAAGGTCATAAAATATAAATCTTCAACATAATTTCCTTAAGAGATTAACTGTTTAGATTTATGACATGCTTTTGAAATAATGTCTGAAATCACAAACAAAAAATATTAGAATATATTCATAATGTATTTTCTACAACATGAAGACAACACTTTTTGATAAAGAAAACACAATTATTAGGAGTTTTTATAAGGGACTTTCAGAAGAATTTTTTATAAATGCAGATACATAAATGATTCAGATGAACTCTAGTTGCATTAGTTAAAATAAACAGGGTACTTGGAAAACGTGATACATGAAAATAAATTTGATGATATGTCTGTGAAGTATCTTGCTATAAAAGTGAATTATTTTTAATTGTATCTTTCATGTTGTCAAATTGAATTATGATTTATGGTTTGCATCCACTCTAATGAACTCCAAAGTATTCATTTCATGTAAATTATTAAAATGCAAATTAGCATACATTTTTTTCTATATTGATTTAAAACATTGGACTATCCTATATGATAGAGAGAAGACAGACTTACCTTTTATTTATACTGTACTCATTGAAACTGTTTTTATTGTTTTTCAAATACAGGCTGTATCATTTATTGTTGAATGAAAATATGACAGGGAACAAAAATATACACTAATATAACACTCTTCACTTCGTAATAAGAAAATGAGATTAGGTGTGGTGGCTCATGTCTGTAATCTCAACACTTTGGTTGATCGAGATGGGAGGATCTTTTGAGGCGGAGTTCTAGACCAGCTTGGGCCATAGAGTGAGACCTTACCTCTACAAAAAATTAAAAATACAGCCAGACGTGGTGGTGCATACCCGCTACTCCAAGCTACTTGGGAGGCTGAAGAGGCAAGATCACTTGAGCGCAAGAGGTAGAGGCTGCAGTGAGCCGTGATGGCACCACTGCACTCTAGCCTGGGTGACAAAGCAAGATTCTGTCGCAAAAATAAAATAAAAAAAAAAATATATATATATATATATATATATATATATATATATATATCACATTAAAATACAGTATAATACCATTGTTTTGGGGCTAATAAGAGCTTATATTTGTTAAGCTGTTACTATCTGTAAGATACTCCTCCACTATATGTGTATTTTATCACAAAAATAAAATATTAGTTGAACAACTATGTGTGAGCAGGTAAATGGGAATCTAGAGTTTACATCAACGGATATGGGTAGAGAAAGATGCAATTTGTAGTCAGAATAAAATTTGAGCAAAACCTTGAAGGCAAATGAAGACATTAGTTCAGGAGACATGTAAGAGAAGATGTGTTTGCAGTAGAGTGCTTCCACAGGGGAAATGCCCAAGAACCAGTGTGTGCTGGGTGTTCATGACACAGCAGAGAGGAGCATGTGGCAGAGTGAGGGAGAAGGAGTGAAGTAGAAGGAGAGGTCGGAGCAGCGGTGAGGGAAACCTTATGCACAGTCTTGGCAATCTGTTGTAAGGATTCTGTCCTTACTCCAAGGGAAATGAGGAGCTGCTGCAGGTTTTTGAGAAAAGCACTCTTCGCTCAAGGCTTGATTCTATTTTCATCTGACTCTCAAGCTATCTGTTTTATTACCACACACATGTATTGTTCATTAACAAATAACATAAACAATGCACAGGATATTTTTTGTACCAGCATGTATCTCTCTGCTCTGCCCACCCCCAGCCTCTTTAAGTGCCATTCTACTCTCTGCTTCTATGAGTTCACCTTTTTTTTGGCGGGTAGGCGGGGGAAGGAGTCTTGCTCTGTCGCCGAGACTGGAGTGCAATGACAGGATCTCACTGCAATATTCACCTCCCAGGTTCAAGTGATTCTCCCTTCTCAGCCTCCCAAGTAGTGGGATTATAGGCACTCTCCATCATGCCTGTCTAATTTTTATATTTTTATAGAGATGGGGTTTCACCATGTTGGCCAGAATGGTCTAAATCTCCTGACCCCAGGTAATCCACCTGTGTAGGCTTCTCAAAGTGCTGGGATTACAGGCATGAGCCACGGTGCCTGGCCTAGTTCAACTTTTTTTTGTGTTCCACGTATGAGTGAGATCATGTGATATTTGTTTGTCTGCAGCTGGCTTATTTCACTTAACATAATGACCTTGAAGTTCATCCATGTTTCTGCAAGTGACGGGATTTCCTTCTTTTTTAAAGGCTGAATGGTATTCCGTTGTGTATGTGTGCCATATTCTTTTTATCTGTTCATCCATGATGATCGATCCCATATCTTGGCTATTGTGAGTAATGCTGGAATGAACATGGAAGTGAAGGAATCTCCCACATATACTGAATTCCTTTCCTTTAGGTATATACCAGTAGTGGGATTGCTGGATCATATAATAGATCTATTTTTTTATTTTAATAAATAACAAATAACATTAACAAATGGCACATGTAATACTTTATACTTATTTATTTTTTTTGAGACAGAGTCTCACACTGTCACCTAGGCTGGAATGCAGTGGCATGATCTCAGCTCACTGCAGTCTCTGCCTCCTGGGTTCGAGTGATTCTCCTGTCTCAGTTTCCCAAGCAACTGGGATTATAGGCATCTGCCACCACACCCAGCTAATTTTTTGTATTTTTAGTAGAGACAGGGTTTCATTACATTGGCCAGGCTGGTCTCATACTCCTGACCCGGTGACCCACCTGCTTTGGCCTCCAAAAGTGTTGGGGTTGCAGAGTAAGCCACTGCACTAGACCCATTCATTATACATTTTTAGTAAGATTTTTTTTTTTAATATGAGAGGCCCAAAAATTCTGGGCTTAATGTATCAACTGATGATAACGTTCCATTACTTTATCTTCTATTTGTCCAGTAAAAGATTCAATATTTAGTAAAACTTTATATATCTTTATAAATGATAAGACCAGATCCTTCTTTTATTACTCTTAATTTTCAAATGCAACCAGGCTAGAATATGAACATTGCATCACATATTGCTTCTTAATTTAGGTAATAAAGAATTAAAACATGATGAGTTTATAAGTTCAATCTGGAACTTTTTGGTAAAAATATAGTATTCTAGCTAAACGCCCCCAGAGATACCCCTTTGCCTGCCTTTTAGCACCATGGCATCTGTTGAATTTTCAAGCTGACTTACCTCTTGATGATTAGTCAGCTACATCTAAGGAGTTTAAAAATCAAATACATGGTTGAAATGGGAGTCAGGATAGGTCTGAGAAAATAGGAAGAAAACCCCAACACACAGTGATTTTCATTTTTATATAACATTTGTCTGGGACCAAAGATAAACTGAGTCAAGTCCCTCTAGGACATTTGCTTCCTAGTCCTGAGATGGTCAAGGTTGCTTCTGTCATATCTGTGTTCTGGATGTCACTCATTCAATCATAACTGTGAAATACTCCAGGTCTTGTGACTTGTTACATGAAAGAAAAATAACCTTAGAAAAATATATCAGCTTTTTGTAACTAAACTGGAGCAAGTGTATGTTGTATTTAGAATCTCTTTATGAGAGCAAACCATTGACACTAACCATTTGTCTCAATATTTTATCTACAAAATATGATATATATATATATATATATATATATATATATATATATGATCCCTCTCTAAATGATATGAGATATATGTATATACATATATCAGCCTGCACAACATAGATCCTTGTCTACATGATAGGAGATATAACAGGGAGATATATATATAATCTATCTATCTATCTATCTATCTATCTATCTATCTATATCTCCTATCTATCTATATCTATATATGAGATATATATCTCCTATCATTCTGTCTCACAGGCTGAAGTGCAGAGGCATAATCATGGGTCACTGCAGCCACCACCTCTCAAGCTCAAGTGATCCTCCCACCTGAGCTTCCTCAGTTGCTGGAATTACAAGTGTGCACCACCCTGCCCAGCTCATTTTGTAAAAGATTTCTTTGTAAAGACAGTTTTGCCATGTTGGCCAGACTGCCCTCGAACACCTGGGCTCAAGAAATTTGCCTACCTTAGCTCCCCATAGTGCTGAGATTACAGGTATGAGTCACCATGGCTGGTCAAAGAAAGGATTTTTAAACGTATCACTGGTTTTAACAGTAAAGAGAAAATTTCACATATTGTACATCATGCACAATATAATGTTTTTTGAGACAGGGTCTCACTCTGTCACTTGCCAGCTGAGATATCAACGCCCCTGCACTGGGAAAAGGTCCATTCGCAGGTTGATAAAAAGAAGTTATAGATACCAGTATAGGTGTGAAAAAAGGAAAGTTTATTAGAAAGGAAGAATGCTGCTAAAGGGTGCAGCGGTGATCTGTGGTGCATTTTCCTTACAAAAATTGGGGTTATTCAGTGCTGTGTTCATGAGCCAAACTCTGTATGAAATGAAGGATATATAAAGCTACAAGAACCATATTCCTTGGTCTTGGGAACTAATTATTAACCTCATGCAAACCACAATCCAGGAGTGCTGTACTTCAGTGTAGAGCATATCCTAGAAATAATAAAGATCTAACGTTTTATTTAGTATTTCTGCCTTTTAAGCTATTCCATGGAC